TCTCTGCTCTTGAAGGTTTGTAATTTGCTTCATCAAGCTTCTTCTTTTCCTTTATGCTGTCCACAATCCAGCCGGGAGTGACAATCTTAATGCAGTCAGAATGCTTCAAAGCACAGTCATACTTTGGCTAATAGGGCAAAAAATGAATTACATGTAAACACAGCAAAAATTGCTGAAATGTTTAAAACATAAATTCATCCAGAAGCAAAAGTAATATTTACAACTACATACTTATACATTTAGCTGCCAAGGATTAAGGCTGAGGGTGACCTTGTTGGGTTAAAATGCACTGTTCACTAAGCACACAACTATGAAATGGGGTGTTGCCAATATTATCACAACCTAAATGAGCTAGCTAAATGAAGCCACTGTAGTATGTGAAGCACAGCTCCATCATGACAGATCTCAAAATTTCCAATTCTATTTCTACTTTTATGCCTTATGGTATCAACTGCTATAACTAGTTTTCTAGCAGCCAAAAAAATGGGAAAGTTTGGGTTTCTTAGCAGAGGTGATTAAATACTTCTGTACCACTTCCACTGACCTAACACAGTAACTAAGGAGTTAAAGGCAATTGCACTAAACCTTTTTCAACAAGACTCATTGATGGAGCTTCACTGTAACTGTACCTGAAACTGTTGTTGCAAGAAATATACGCTTTATCAGACGTCACATGTACATGGACTCAAAAAGATTCCTCCTTAAATCTATCCTAGACACCCAGGATAGGCTTTGAACATAAAAGTTCCCATGCTACTTGTACCATAGAGTACAAGTTTGTGAAAACTTACACCCGAGGGAAGAGGAATCACCAGATGAGTGCAGTTAGAGTTGAGGTTCAGCTGGCATTGGCCTCCATAGTATGTTACCATAGCCCACAATGCATCTCTGTCATTGATTGGAATCTGTTTGAAAAATCAGGACATAACTGCTTGTGAAATCTTAATCTCACCATTTCTATCACTGCAGAAGATGCAAGGCAAAACAATAAATGTCCATGTTCAAGAACATGTAATATTTCTGGTGGTAGTAACCAATTTTTGTTGCCAAATGTCATTCAAAGGTGAATCACTGGATTGAAAGACTTATTGCCAGGAAAAAACACAGCAAACCTGAATGAAAGCTGTTGACTTAAACAAGAACATGTACAGCCAGTTGTCCTTCGCACAACCACCATATGAAGTACCTTACAGCCAAACTAGCATGTACATACATGTCTATTTTTAGGTAAAACTGTTTATGACTCTCACCTGTGAAGGACATACAACAATTCCTTTGAAAAACTGTTCAGATCCAGGCTGGAAGGCTCCACATCTTGATTCATGTTAAGGAAAGCCATAAAGATTGTGTGCAAGATATCCGCTTAAACAACAAATTTTCATTATCATCCTTTACAGTACAACAAATCTTTGGCAGAGTAGTCATGCAAATTCCTTTCAGAAACATACAGATTTCAAGATAGTAATTATAAATCAAAGTAAAAATTTCCCTGATGAATCATGGGGGGCAAGAACATCTGTACTACATAACAAGACCTTTATACAAATATACAAGGATAGAAATTGATGTTGTTTGGCAAGTTTGGTGGAAAATAAAAGGATTTAATTCTTGAAAGGATACGGCAACAGCATCTCACACCTTGCACTTAAAAAGACCCACTTTGGCTGCAAATTCAAATGTAAAATTTTATTATTACAGTCATACTAAACATTTTTTACTTGAAGATAATAAACATATCACTTACAGTTTCTATAAGATCTACTGACCAGAAACAATGTCACTTTCTCTGTTGGTAAATACATGTAAATACACTGTAAGCTTTAATCCATGTCTACAAACATGTTCTGACTTAATTATTTCTGTCAGTGGGACTGAACTTGTGGCACGAGGAAGTTTACATAGCCAACACAAGCTCTAAACTGTACAGTAACTGTTGCAGTTTTTCGAACTACTTTCTGGAGAAATAAGTCTAAGTGTTATAATAACTTTTCTCAAGAACGATGAATCTACAGTGTATGTCAGAGCACATATTACAATGTGAATATCAACAATAAATACAAACAGTTTCTTTATTTTCATTTTTGTAAATGTCAAATATTTTTTTATAACCAGTAACAGTGAGTGGAACNGTGTTGAGACTAAAAAACCATAAGCAATATGAATACATGAAAGTCAGAAGATTTCACTGATGGAAGCAGACAGCAGACAATATTTGTTGATCAACAGCTTTCTTATTTCAGCACATTTGAATTTAATGGTTATGAAAGGCTAATGAAAAATGGAAAGCTTGATGATTATTTCCATTCAGGTTGTCAAAATGTTTCTGCTGCTACTGACAACATTCTGTTTCAGGACAAGTCATAATGAGCAGGAATTAGAGTCAAGGTTTTAGATAACAAAAGTAAATGGGCACTTGCAGATTTATACAGTGTACAAGAAAATGTATAATATTGCTTTTTTTACTCGTGATACGGACACTTCCTGTGTGGATTGTGATGCTTTACTTAATACTGGTATTTCTTTGTCAGGTGATGAGGGCTACATGTACTTTAGCTTTACTGTTATGTGAGATGTAACTGCATGTAGCCGACTTCAAACAAGTTTCCGCTAGCATGTTTCTTCTGATTTAGAGGTAGTAAAAACATACGATCGCGTTATTTTGCAAGAGAGTCACTGCAGTTTCAGCGGTCTTCTTTATTTATACATTCTTCCCAATTTACTCGATTTGTGATAGAAAGGAATTAGTCAAGAAGGTCCCCGACTAGCCAGTGTGCTGAAAATTATTGTAACCTCGTCTGATCTTGACAACCGAACAGCTCAAATTCGATCGCCAAATTTTACCCTGAAATACAGGTAAGAAACATAATAGCGTTCCACCACTACTTTGTTGTCTACTGCAAAACTACAACGACTATAAAAAATCAGACAGGAGGCGTACTGTGTGTAAAAATTGGTCGGCGTTGTTTACCTTCGAAATCGGTGAAGCCTTGTTTGAGTATCTACGATTACACACCTCATCGCACCTAGTAATTCATAACACACCTCTTCATTGTTTTCCTCAGCTAGAAAGAATCTGACGTCCTTGAAAAGGTCTTTCTTGGTTTTTGAGGTCGAATCTGTTGCCATGTTCAAATTTATTCGTCTGCCATATTGAAACTGATTTGGCAACTGACGACTGGCGGGAAAGAGGGTCGTACCCAGTCACCTGACTTGCACTCACGAGTCCTCAGACGACACCCCTTGTGATGGGTGAATGTTGACAGAGAATGATCAAAAGAAATAATGAGAGTAAAATTAATGGACTTGTAAATAATGTTCAGGTATCACCACTCTCTAAAAGTAGTTTTACCCTATTGACTGTTGCGCGAGTACGGTCTTTTTTTAGAAAGTACAATGAGTAAGATCTCTAAGTGCGTATTCTTTGGTTTATTTTTTATCACAGTCACTTTTCTTGTGAACATTCCGGCCTGTTTCTGCGAAGAAACAATGGACGACGATATGATGAAACCTGAGGTATAAAAGGAAAGTGAAAAAACAACAGCCACTGGAACTATGGAATTACATGAACTGATCATGATTGCGTCAAAGCGTTTTTTCAAAATATCCCTTCAAGTGATGGGCTTTTGAAAGTAGAGCTAACAAAAATCTAAGGACTTTTAGGAAAGAGAGAAAGAGAGAAGTCTCAGCTCTAAAAGGAGGATGTCGAAGGAGACTGAGATTCAGGACAATCAAAAGTTGACTCAGGCTTCTAGCCCTCTCTATTTGAGAGGTGGGAGCTGTTAGGGTTTGATTGTATTACCATCTAAGAAAATGAAATCATAGCTTTCTTTGTACGCTCAAGAGAAATTGTTCCTTTTCCCAGGCCGCTTAGAGAAAGAGGACTGGAACTGAATCCTCTGTTCTGGCTGATGGAACTCTTTGTTCATGATTATTGGTCAGAAAGCAAGAAGATTATAGATAAAGAAAAAGCAAAATAACCTAACTGAGTTCTAAAGCCACTGTGCCCCTGGTGTTAGGTACTACCTTCAAATGACTGGTTTGTTACAGAGCCTTATGCTTTCGTTACCCATCGTCCCTATCGAATGAAACCACAGTACGTCACGCGTAACACTTTATGAGGCATACATAACCCTGGGTTTAAGGGATATTTAATTCTTTGAAATCAGTAGCAGAGAATTTGCATAAGTGTGTGTCGAGTGATGTCATGGACTTCATCCATTTGATATTTTTCTGCCATAGTTACTTTTTCTTTAATATGAGTTCTAATCGCGATTGAAATAACGTAAAGTATTTTTCGAGCGACCACTGACGGGGGAAAAATAGGATCATCGCCGGTACTCGAACTTTGCCTTACGGAAACAATGTAAAAGGCGCTTGGCTCCAGGTATCTGACACTTTTTTCTTTCAGTCTCATTTTACTGAAAAATATTACATGTGTACTCAATTGCTTGTGATGGGAATCGTGTACAAATTGTTATTGGTATGTCATATGAATCCATAAAACTGTTTGACCACAAGTGCAGTGGAGGATATATTTTTGTTTCAATTCAAAATTTTGCGCAGGTGGTTACGCCAGCCATGATTTCTCGGAAAAAGAGCGTGAAGAAACACTCTGCTATTACTCAACCGGCCGTTGCGTTACCTCGCGTTATGTCAAGGCCAATCTTTAAATAAACTTTTTAATTTAATATCTTGTCCAAGAACGACCTCTATCTAATCTTAAACTTGGCGAAGGGTTCGTCTTAAGAGGGAAACTTTACGGAAAGAGTTCCGTATAATCCCAGACTTAATTATGCATTCATTTCATAAAGACTAAATATGAAGGTTTCTTCGCAGCACTCTATGCGTAATTAATGTAGGGGTTATATGAAAATCTTGCCAACTTTATTACTCATGATAAGAATACAAACGACAAAAAGGTGATATTAAGATTTTACAGCTTCAATTCTTACAGCTACTGCCTCCCTTAAGAGGCGAAGTCACATTTGTTGTCGAAAGATTTTCATGTTATTTCAAGTAAGCTGAAAGAATGGAAATCAAACTTTCCGCAGTTTTCTTGCATTCTTAGAGTCTCGAGAGGTAGTGCGTGAAATTATGGTATATTTGTGTGTGGTCCCGTCGGTTTTCATTAGTTTTTTGTCGTAGGAATTCCACTGGAAAGAGAGTGGTGAACTGAGGCCAAGTCGGGCACCTTTATCGCCCAAACACGGCTCATCAATCTCCTCTTTTGATGAAAGACCAGGTATGTGGAGTAACTTTACTCCCTAAGTTTTTAGTGAGAAATATATTTAGCAAAATTTGTAAAGATGACACTTATTTAAGAATTCCAAACACGATGCAAGTCTTTTTTTGGTGGAAATCTTCAGGAAACTTGTGCACAACAAGGAAAGGTACCTCATTGAATTGAAAGTTCCAGCCTACCGGCCGGGTTTGAACTGCTACAAAAACTCCCTCTATCACAGTGACAACTTATAAACAATTTTCTCTTTCGTCATTTTGAGAGAGAAGGTTTAGCCTTTTTCCCTAAATTAGTCCAATTTTTCATTTTTAAGCCTTTATTTTTACAAATATGCGTACAGTCACGTCATGGCAATCGATTTTGCAGTCCAGTGGCGAGACAAACTAACTTTAATCATTCCTCAGGGGCTGTGACCCAGAGGACTGGTGATCAAACTGCAAGGGCGATTCCTCTGTGTCTTCCTAATAATTATAAATGGGATTCTACGACTCGTCAATGTGTTGAAACCGATGAAATTCGTTCTTCATTGAATGTAGTTGAAGAAGCACTTGAGGAGCTGAGGAAAGTCAAAGGTATGGGCCAATGCTCTGTCGTAAAACAGAACGGGTAAATAAATGAAATGATGATAAATGATGGCAAGTGTCATGTTGACGATTTTCAAACTGTGTGCCCTAACTAGTGCTTTTCTTCTATATGCATGTTATTGTGAGCCAGTGCCTGGGCTCGTCAACAAGTATGAAATGAATCTGATGCAAGTTGAAATTTAATCACTTGAAAGAGGTCTATTTTATCAAGTAAAACTGTACCGTAAGTTCAGTAGTCGCTAGTTCTAACAAAAATGACTAAAATAACCTTTAAGTCTTCATGAAAAAGGAAAAAGCAAACAAGACAAAACGAAACGAAACGAAAGCAAGAGGAAAGAATGCGAAAACGGTAATGAGATCTACCCGCGATGACCTGCATGGAGACTTGCAGCAAATAAGGCCACGCACTATTTGAAGTGTAAGAGAAAAACTTCACCATTCAGATCGAAAGCCTTGAAAAAACATTGAAACAAGAACTACCACGTGCGTGTCTGTATATTCTTTATTTCACTTCATTCTATTGAATTTGAAGCCCATGTCAGTATGTTTTGACAAATGGCAATCAAATTAATCATTCCGCTTTACTCTGTAATACGGTATAACAGGTCCAGTGTGCACCGTGACTGTCGCTGGTCCTTTGAGGAAAGGAAAGTCTTACATTTTGAGTGAGGCTTTTGATCAACCAGGGGTGTTCCCTCTTGGTCACGAATTTGATCCGAAGACCATGGGAATATGGATGTGGATTGTGCCAGAGAAATATAAGGTGCAAAACGTAGCCTTTGGAAATTTATTTCCAAGTATCAAACATTTTAAGGAATTTTTTTGCGATATGCAATGATGACAATTAGCATATAGCGCGAATGCGATAGTTACAGAATGATCCCGAAGAAAAATTTGTTATTATCATATTCTCGTAGCTATGTGCATTTTGTTTGTGTCACGATAATATTAACTTGATTTCCCAATAGGGCTCTTAAATATTCTCTTGACCCTCCCCTCCCATAATCAGCAATCAGTTTTCAATTTCCAATTTGTTCCCCTTTATGATGGTCTCTTACCTGATTTAGGACAAAAGTGGCCAGGAGGTCACAGTTGTGCTGTTGGATTCAGTGGGTGTTGACGCTGCTTTCGGTGAAGGCCGTGAAGACAATCAGATATTTACCTTAACCGTTTTGTTGGCATCTGTGCTTATTTATAACTCAAGCGGCGTCCCCACAAGACACGATCTCGAGAGTCTGCAGTATCCTTAACATATAAATCATATGTTGCAACATTGGCTCAACGGTTACCTGTAGTATGTGGTCTGCGCGGACTTTTTTTCTCTCACCCACAACATAAGATTCAATGGTCGTTAGTAAATGCATGGTAACCCTGTTAGAAAGAATTACTAACCGTGTACGATTCGTGGAAGCACGGGTTCGGATCCTGTTGAAGCCTCAATTCTGTCAGCCTTCCTTTCTGCACTCGTTTTAATTGAACTTTATCTGCAAAGACCGTTTTGTTACTTTATACATCAAATTATGATTAATTTCAATTCATTACCTTAATAATAGAGAAATACTCCCTGCAAGAAGACACACATTGATAAAGAGCTAGAATGAAAGACGAAGAACGTTCAAATTTTTGGCCCTGCATAGGTCAGGCTACATTAAAGCCTAATCAAACATCAAGATTACGAAACGGCGAGAGACAGTTCACGACGAATGTAATGTAATTGATTTATTTTAGTCTCAGTCATACGTACACAGCGTGTAGATAAGAAAAAAATACTTCTGGATTTTCTTTAATCTCTTTTTAGCTTTATCTCAGAGCTTTCTGAACGAATTCATGCAAGATCTAACTGGAAACAGACTGCTAAGAAAGAAGAAGAGTGCTTACACAGAACGTTTCCTTTCTTTTTTTGGTTGCTGAGGGATGTGGCGCTCTCCATTCCACGCGACTACACAGACTACAAGGATTACTTCTTGAAAAAGGTTATAAATCAAGACAAGGCCAAGATGCCGTTTGAGAAGGTTTCAAATTGCGTGGAGGGAAGGGTTTTAAACATAAAAATGAAGCCAAATAAATGATTCCTTATCACTTTATTTACACAGGTTTTCCGTGAGTAAGCTCCTCGAAGTAGGAGTACAATAGTGATGATGTAGCCAAGGGCATTTTGAGTTTCTTTCCTGGTTTTGAAGCATTTGCCCAATCCCCTCCCTCAACTGATCGAAATGTGCTAGGAAATCTCAACATGAAGAAGGTCAAGTAGAGCCTCAATTTCTGAGTGAATTAGAACAGTTCAAGAAGATGATGAAGTCTATACTAGTCCCAAAACACAGCTTCACTGAAACATTGACGTTTTAGACTTCGGCTTTTAGAAGAGTGCAATTTATCTCAGTGCTTGATATCCAAATTTTCATTGAGTCGTTATTTATTTATTGAGTTCAGGTGTTAATGGCCATTTTTTCTGATGATTTATCGATTTTGGTCTCTCATGGAGGATCTTACTCATTTCGACGTTACTGTTTCATCAGATGTTGTTAATACAGCAACTGATGAAAGGGGCGGGGTCTGACACTCAAATGATTAACTTCATTTGTGCTACACATTCTTCTTTATATAATGTAAGTCCGATATACGATTATCAATTGATGGTTGCTTTATCAAGGTTTTCCGTGAGGAGAATTCTGGGAGTGGGAGTCAACAGAGCCGGGAGGTAGCTGAAGGCATCTTAAGATTCTTTCCTGGTTTTGAAGCGTTTTCCCTGCCTCTTCCTACGGCTGATGAAGAGATAATGAGAACCATCAGCGTGAATAAGGATCAGCTACAGACAAAATTTTTGCGCCAGTTAGAGGACTTTAAACGCTTGGTAAAGTCCATACTGGTTCCAAAACACAGCTACACAGAAGGAGAGCTTGTAACTGGTGAAGGTGTGCGTCCTTATTTGTGTTTTTTCCTTTCTGTCTTGATCCTTTCGTTTCTTTACTAAACACATTTGCTTACCAATGATGACTTGTCTCGTGAAAAACAGTGCATGAAATAATGAGGTCAATTTGAATTCATTATTGAGAAAAGGAAAAATACTGTAATAATTTTGCAAAATGAAGTGAGCATCAAAGTACTTATTAAGAAAATAAGGTTTTTTGTTGTTGTTGTAGGTCTGGCCGCTTTAGTGAGCCAGTACGTTGATGCAATCAACACCACTGGCTTTCCTCCAGATGTGCAGGGAGCGTGGGACCAGTTTGTACAAACCAAATGTTTTGAAACTAAAAAAACCTGCGAGAAGAAATATTGTGAGGTTGTGACCTTACTACTGTCTGAAAAACTGCCTTGTGATAACGATAAAGTACGGGAGTATCACAACTCTGCACTGGAGGAAACTGAGGAGCTTTTCCTGAGGGAAATGATCGGCATTTCAACAAACAAAGTAGAGAAGCAACTAAGGCAACTTAAGGTGACGCTCCTCAGCTGGAGCTCTAACTAAGATATCGATACATGTTTAACACGTATGTATAATTGGCACGTGTGGCTCAGTTATCCAGGTCAATAATACTTGAGTGGGGGAGGGAGGAGATCAATATAACTGGTTTTATCTAAGGTTCATAAAGCAGTTTCCTCGCGAAGAAGAAATTTAATTCAAGGGTATAAGTCTGTTAATAGGTAATGGTTAGGCAATTAACTCAAAGGTCACCTAAACTTTGTCGTAAGGACTTGACGTAACGTCTGCTGACTTTGGCGAGCTATCGTGCTATGCCAGTCGTGAATCATTCCAAGAGTCAGTTTTTTAAGCAACAGAACGATTTCCATGGTATCGTATTGTTTGTTGTCTTGCTTAGTGGTGTCCATTCTATAGCTTAAAACGGATTTTTTTAATGGTTTTGTTTTGTTTTGTATTGCTTTTTGCTTTTTCAGATATCCCTAAACCAACAGTTGAAGGAGTGGCAGGCTAAGAATTCAAAATTAACGAAAGAAGGCTGCGAAAATCTTCTTTCAGAACTAAAAAAAAAGCACTTCGATCCGATCATTGAGCAACTGCAAGGAAGAGATGGTTCGAAATTAACATTTGGTTACATCCAGAGAGGTTACCTACACATCAAAGATGACTACGATGCAAAAGCAAAGGGTGCGAAAGATGCCATTGCTGCTGCGTTCGCCGAATTTCACCCCGTAGGAAACATTATTTATTTCCGATCATTCAATTGTTGCTGCAGATTGATTTCTGATTATAGATAAAAGCGGTGTCTTAAAAAGGAAGAGCCAAAAGAAGAGCAAATTTAAGAGATACTGTCCGGATTGGAGGGTTAAACAATTTTTTTTCGTTCGAGCGATTATCATTTTTGTTAAATTCGTGTTAGTGATCAGCAACCAAATTCTGCCTCACCCTAAGACCACTTAACAAAAATGAGCCCTCCAAAATTTATAATCAGGAAGTTAAAATTATCAAAACTAGTTTAATTCTCTTTCAAAGTGTTCTAGACCTGTTCTCTGCTAAATCGCTCTTCGAGATCGAAGCGGCTTATTGTGTCCGGCTGGGAACCAAACGTTATAGAGAATGTATACATCTTGTTCAATATTCTCTTGATAACTTATTTACCCTCTTACAGAAAATAGCAGCGGAAACTAAGCAATACATCGGTATTCTAAGGCAACTGAAAGACTTTGACGAACATGCAGCGAGAGAGAAGGTAGCCGAAGCTTACAGGGAGCGGGAAAGAAGACGACTTGAGGTAAGTGAGCGTGATGGTAATATTACAGAAAAATATGTTGAGATTAGCGGAGATAAAAAGAAAGATCAGAATGCTCTGATGGACTTAAACGCAACAGAAAGGCACGATGGCTAATAACTGAGACTCGCCTGTGGGTGATGCGTAACCCGATAAAACTAATCCTACGCTCACTGCGTATACAAACAATACTTTACAATCGGTAGGGATTACTGTAAATGGTTTAAATCTGGGGGCAACATCCGGGTGCGTGGGTGTGGTCCTGAGACGAACTGTTGTCGGTGGTGTTGACTGACGTTTCGACAACCTGAGCGGAAGTCATCATCAGAGTCGAGTGAATAGTTGTTGTCAGTGGAATCCTAACGTTCGAAGTCCAGTTCGTGTAAAATGAATTACTGCACTGAGCCAATCAATCTTTCAGTAAATTGGCATTACCCTGGTTGTCGTCGCAGTGATGGGATTTTCGATAAGAGACGTTTAACTTTGTGTATATATGCTATTCTCACTGCATACATAACTTCCCGGCGCGCTGGAAGAGCTACGCAGGTATTCACATTCCGGCGGGTTTGACCTGTGGTCTCTTTTTTTTTTTTTTTTTCTGTCAGGAAGAGCGGATGCGCTTAGAGCAAGAAAAGCAAGAACAAGAGAAGGAGGTAAACATTCTTTTTAGCGTTGTTAGAATAAATCATTTTTATTCGCTGTTCATTACAATAACGATGTTTTGTAGAAGGAAATGACCGTTACAACCTAGATTAATCTTACAACAACAAACATATGAAACATATGTATGAACTGCGGTTATGAAACGTATATATGCACGATCCTTCGCAGTAAAGCACTATTTGAGCAATAGTGAAAATCAGACCTGAAAAAATTTCAGGCCTGTACGGGATTCGAACCACTGACCTCTGCGATACTAGTGCAGCGCTCTACCAATTGAGCTAACAAGCCAACTGGGAGCAGGCCATCAAATTAATTCGACATAAACCCGTAGATGATAAATCAAACAACAACAAACATATGAAACATATGTGTGAACNATATGTTTCATATGTTTGTTGTTGTTTGATTTATCATCTACGGGTTTATATCGAATTAATTTGATGGCCTGCTCCCAGTTGGCTTGTTAGCTCAATTGGTAGAGCGCTGCACTAGTATCGCAGAGGTCAGTGGTTCGAATCCCGTACAGGCCTGAAATTTTTTCAGGTCTGATTTTCACTATTGCTCAAATAGTGCTTTACTGCGACGGATCGTGCATATAGACATTGTTTTCTTTGTTTGTTTTTTTCATATTGCAGACCTCTCGAACTTCGTATTTAGGTCTGATTTTCACTATTGCTCAAATAGTGCTTTACTGCGAAGGATCGTGCATATATACCTAGATTAATCTTATTGCAAAATACACAAGAACTGAGTTGTAAGTAGTGCGGCTTCACAGTTTTCTCTTTCGGCTTCGGATATAATTGAAATGCATTCAGTTTTTCTCCAAGAACAAAGTCCTTGATAAACATTGTATAGATGACAACTGTTAACCAAGGAATTAATGACCTAGTGTGAAGCTTTTACTTTTATGTTTTTGCGTAGTTCACCTAGCATTATGATCGTCTTTTTTCTGTTTGCTAAGATGAAAATGCTGATTACCAGAATAGAAGAGGAAAGAGTTGGGATGCTAGAGAAAATGAAAAATGAAATGGAACAAGAGAAAGAACAATTGCAGAATATGAGGGAAGCAGGCTTACGGGAGGCAAAACTTAAACGAGAGGCTTTCATTGAAGAAAAACATGCCCTAGAAGAACGGTTACTGAAAATGCGAGAGAAAGACGAGGAACATATGAAAATGATAAAGAGGTTCTCAGAAATGATCACCAATCACCAAAGAGAGAGAATAGAGCGTCGTGAACAACTGAAAGAACTTCCTCAGGAAGATATCGAAGAGTCCTTGAATGAGCTGAGAAGAAAGCAATCAGAAGAGGAAAATGAACTCCTGAAGAAGATGGATATTTGTGCGGACGACAACCAAGGGGATGTTCCTCAGATGATGGCCTTGAGGGCTCTAAAGATAAGAATGGAGGAGAACGAAGAGGAACAAGAATCTCTCGTGAGAACAGTCCTTGGTGGCATTGCAAAAGTTAGTCGACCGGCTGGTAAATTAATAGCCTTGTATCCTCCAGCGGCGCCTTATGCTGAAAACGTCGCCGACGGCATTGCTGGTGTTGCTGAAGCTTTATTGGAGGCTGACTGTGTTGTCATGTGAGAAGAGCAATGCGGTTGTTTCCGGACATGAAACGAATGAGTGTCTTCAGTTTTCAAGAAACAATGTTTTTGATAATCGTGCTAATCACCACTTTAGATAAGGCATAGCTGATGTAGAGAGTATCCTTACACCTTTTTCTGTCATTTCTAAGAGAGGGCTTTCATCTGTAAAAGATGCAACTTCCGTTGCAAGTTACCTTTGTGAAGCAATGTTTAATCAGATTCAGGTGTACAACAGCGAAACGTAATTGACACAATCTTTTAATTGTAGGAAACAGTGCAATAGCAACTAAACTCGAGTCAGTGAAGTCACAATATGGATTGCATTTTGATTTTTTTATTGACTAACTCACATTCCTAGCACCTTGACCATTCCCAAAATATTTGAGAAAGGAAAAAGAAATACCCTTCTATTCGTTTTACTTCTGATACTCTGGTGTAAGTAAAGGTGTAGTCTGATCGTCCGGGTGAGTGTAGTCCTGAGAAGGACTGTTGTCGGTGGTAGTGACTGACGTTTCGACAATCTGTGCGGAAGTCATCATCAGAGTCAAGTGAATGATTGTTGTCAGTAGAATGTTCTTATTCCAGTTTCTGTGCAGGTGGTTATGCCAGCCATGATTTCTCGGAAAAAGAGCGTGAAGAAACATTTTGCTATCACTCAACCGGCCCTTGCGTTCCCTCTCGTTATGTCAAGGCCAATCTTTAAATAAACATTTAAATTTACTATTTTAACCAAGACAGTTTTAATTGAGTTGACGCCCAACCCGTCGACCTTGTAGCTTGAAGAAGATATCAGTTTGCTGTCGCAACGTCGGGGTGCTCGTCGGATGTGACTGCCTCGTGAGACGAACGACTGTGCGTTTAAATAGTTTTGTGATTCACCACGATGAACGGTCGGGATCTTATCGACTGTATGAGTTTTAGCCATTCCTAATATGTTCTCAACGTTACGAAATATAGCAAATTTGCTCTGTGGTGTCAATTCATACTTCCTGTACACTTCAATTTCGCCTAATAGACTCAAAAGAAAAATTGCACAAGTTGTATCGTTCCGTGGCGGACGACCTCTAGTCTTAAATTTGGCGAAGGGTTTGTCTTAAGAGGGAAACTTTCCTACTCATGATAAGAATACAAACGACAAAAAGGTGATATTAAGATTTTACAGCTTCAATTCTTACAGCTACTGCCTCCCTTAAGAGGCGAAGTCACATTTGTTGTCGAAAGATTTTCATGTTATTTGCATACCACACACCGTTGATAAAATACACACATGGAGGCTCTTTGCATATGGAAAGCACTTTCTTTCCCTATCAAAAAACAAAAGGAAAAGAATATAGGTGCAAATAAGGAAGAAAGAGTAGCATTTTTTCAAGAACAGAAAATATCCTTGGTGGAAGCGTTGTCCCATTGGTGTTGCGATTAGGAACGTAAGATAATCGCCGGGGGTGACAAGTTTTTTACGAACCTTAAATTTATACTAAAGCTAAGATCTCGCGTTTGAATTTGAGAGGAATACATCCTCTTTGAGTGAATTTATAAAGTATTTAGATTTGCTCAATTTTCGTCAAAATTCGCTAAAACAATCCAGAAATAGTGACGAAAGGAAAAATTTATAAACAAAAAAAATTGAAAAAAATTTTAAAGGATAATAAAAGCGAGGAAAAGAATGAGTTAAGTCTCCTTACCTTTTTCCATAGCTGCACCATCGCTTTACGGTCGTCTGAATGCTGTTTTGGCGACTTTCTTAGCGTTACAATCTTAGTGTTACGCATTCCCGTCTATGACCATCTAGACCCCAAAATCACACGGTACGCTTGAGCCACCTGTGTTGCCGCGGCATCCAATACCCGATAAATTCTGAAGAAGAATCCTCGGTCGTTTCATGCCTAACCGACTCCTGACACTTCGTTAAAGGAAAACTCGCATAAGTGATATTTTGATCGTAAAGTGCAGTTATTAAGCTTTCTTATGATATATAGTTTTTGTCAGGATTTTAGTAAAGCCAGCGCTCGTACGAAAATTTCCCGGAGGACTTTTCCAAACAGAAAAACATTTATCGCAATTTGATGTGATCTGCACATCATGGAAGCTTTCGATCAGCGACTTTTGCCGGAAAAGGGCCGCTAAATTTGCGTAGCCGCAAGCGAGCTGCGAAATATTACACCTTGAGTTTTTCGACAAAGGCTGTGTTTTCACCAGGCCGATTAACTAGCTGAACATTCTTTCTAGGTGTTTGTCTACAAACCAACATTTACTAGTTAAACTTGACATCTGTTTTCACTGTGAAATTTTAGCTGCTTACTCAGAAGATTCAAATTACAAAAGCGCGCAACTTTGAAAAAATGGCGGGAGACGAAACATTTTTAATGACTTCTCTTGTACTGATTCTCGCCATATTTCTTCGAAGGAGACGACGTTTCTTTCAGAGGATGCGACTAATGTCTCGACAAATGGAGAGGATGCGAACCTAAC